CAGAGGTTAAGAATGTTAGACTACAAGAGATTGAATTTTCTGTGACTACTTTAAAACTTAATGTATGTAAGTAAATGGTCATCTTTCTATTCAATTATTGTTAATAATCCTTGCCTATATCCTTGCTAACCTGGTGTCTTTTTGCATTTTACTTGTTAAACTTAATATTTGGTGAAGCATTAAGCCTTTAATAAAGTCTCAAAAACTAATAAAAGAGGGATGAAGCCATAATTACGTTGATTTCATTCCTTTTTCTGTAATTGTTTATACAGTAGAAAACCAGTAAGAATACAGAACAGGTGTTGGTGGATTCTGGCCCATTGGCTAAGTATTCTGTTACGTTTTATTTATTTGAAAGACAGAATTACAGAGAGGTAGAGCCAAAGAGAAAGGTCTTCCATCTGCTGGTTAATTCCCCAAATGACCATAACTGGCCAGAGTTGAGCTGAAGTCAGGAGCCAGGAGTTTCTTCTGGGTCTCCCATTCGAGTTCAGGGGCTCACGGACTTAGGCCATCTTGTGCTGATTTCCCAGGTCATAGCAGAGAACTGGATTGGAAGTGGAGCAACTGAGATTTGAACTGGTGCCCATATGGGATGCTGGCGCTGGAGGCCAGGCTTTATCCTGCTGCACCTCAGCCTGGCCCCACTTTTTTTTTTTTTTTTTAATTAACCATAAGCTAAGAGTAATGTTTATGTTTTTTTTGGTTGTGACTAAAAAAGGAACAATATTTTTGTGACACAGAAAATTTAAAAGAAATTCAAATTTCGTTGTCCATACATAAAATGCTTGAACACAGTTTTGCCATTCATTTATTGCTGTTTTCCTGTTGTAACTGCAGTATTTAGTAGTTGTTTTAGAGAGCATATAACCCCGGTGTCTAAACTGTTTATGTGACCCTTAAAGAGAAAGTTAGTACGTTCAGAGTGTAAGCGTTAGTAACGTCAACTAACTTGATCGAAATGACATATGGAACATTTTTCTCAACAGCAACATTATTTTCACGTTTGCATGAAATAGTCACCAAGATAAACTAAATATTGGGTTCTAAAACAACCATCTGTTAATAGGAAAATATTGAAATTATATGGAGTAAGTTCTTTTGACTTAATTGGAACTCAAAAAAGGAAGAACGTTAAATAATTAGGAAAGTAAAAACCCAAATATTTTGGAAAGCAATGTTTAACATAAATCAAAGATGTTATCACAAGGATGGGCCATTAAAGAAGGAGGTACCTTTCTGTGAAGGGAGGAGAGACTTCCACTTTGATTATGGCCTTGTCTAAATACGATCAGAGTTTGTGAACTCAAGAGGCTTCCATAGCCTTGGCAGCTCATGACAAGAGCCTCGGGTGTTACTGATGCCATAAATAAGAGTGTCAGTTGTTAAATCAACAACGGGATTCAATGTGTACCTACTCCCCATGTAGGATCTCTGTCCTTAATGTGTCGTACTATGTGAATTAACAGTATAACTAGTACTCAAACAGTACTTTATACTTTGTGTATCTGTATGGGTGCAAACTGTTGAAATCTTTACTTAGTATATATACTAAGTTGATTTTTCTGTATATAAAGATAATTGAAAATGAATCTTGATGAAGGGTGGGATGGGAGAAGAGGGAGTGGGAGATGGGATGGTTGGGAGTGGGAGGGAGGTTATGGGGGGGAAAAGTTGCTAGTTGTACTTTGGAAATTTATATTTATTAAATAAAAGTTGGAAAAATAGAAGTTATCACAAGGAACACTTGAAAGTATTGTGAACTGAGTTAAAATTTGTGAAGTTCAGCTAAAACTGTACTTAAAGTTATAGTCTTAAATGTTTGTATTAGAAAAGAAAAAAAAATTCCAAATGAATAAACTTCTAGCCATAACTAGTAAGTTAAACCTCACGTAGACAGAAGAAAGGAAATTTTAAAGACGAGAACAAAAACTCAGTGACAGAAGATAAGAACTATTGAAAAATTAATAAAACCAATAGATGTTCCATTTATCCAAATGTGTGCCAGCCCCTGGAAGAAAAACATTCCAGAAGTGTATCTCCATAGAGTTGCATGTTCACTGTGGGCTGGTCAATTCTGGTTATTGTTAGTGTTAAACGGTAAGATTTAAATAAGACTAAACTGTGTGCTAAGATAATTTATTTTCATCAGTGGTTCTTAGGGTAAAATGGGAGTCACTTGGAGGGTTTGATAAACTGCAAACTGCTGGGCCCCAATTTGGGTGTTTCTTCTGAATCCGTGGGTTGGGTATAGGGTTGAAAATTTGTATTTTCGGCCTGCACCTTGGCTCACCAAGCTAATCCTTCGTCTGTGGTGCCAGCACCCTGGGTTCTAGTCATGGTTGGGGTGCCGTATTCTGTCCTGGTTGCTCCTCTTCCATTCCAGCTCTTTGCTGTGGCCCGGGAGTACAGTGGAGGATGGCCCAGGTCCTTGGGCCCTGCGCCTATATGGGAGACCAGGAGAAGCACCTGGCTCCTGGCTTCAGATCGGTGCAGCGCCGGCTGTAGCAGCCATTTTGGGGATGAACCAACTGAAGGAAGGCCTTTCTCTCTGTCTCTCTCTCACTAACTCTGCCTGTCAAAAAAAAAAAAAAAAGAAGAAAAATTGCATTTTCAAGAAGGTGGTATTTATATTAAGAACTACTGTTGTACTATAATAAATAAGTTATCATAGGAAACAAAATTTATTGTCTAAGATGTAAATTAATGAAACTAATGTCTAAGAAACAAACTTAATTTTCTTTCTTTTTTTTTTTAATTTATTTATTTGAAAGAGTTATAGAGAAAGATAGAGACAGAGAGAGGTCTTCCATCCGCTGGTTCACTCCTCAACTGGCAACAACAGCTGAAAGCTGAGCCCATCCAAAGCTAGGAGCCAGGAGCTTCTTCAGGGTCTCCCACGTGGCTACAGGGGCCCAAGGACTTGGGCCAGCCTCCGCTGCTTTCCCAGCTGCATTAGCAGGGATCAGGACTGGAAGTGGAGCAGCTGGGACTCCTATGGGCACCCATATGAGATGCTAGCCCTGCAGGCAGATGCTTAACCTTCTGTGCCACAGCACTGGCCCATATATATATATATAAAATTTTTTATTTAAAGATTTATTTATTTGAAAGGTATAGTGGCTGAGAAGGAGAGAGACACATACATACAGAAAGATCTGTCCCTTGGTTCACTCCCCAAATGGTCACAAGGATGGGGATTGAGCCAGACAGAAGCAGGAAACAGGAACCCTATCTGGGTCTCCCACATGGGTGGCAGGTTTCCAAGTTCTTGGGCCATCTTCTCTCTTTCCCAGCTGCATTAACAAGGATCTGCATTGGAAGCATAAAGGGCCAGGACACAAAGGGAGTTTAAACATGGGATCTGACCTCTCCAGGCAGCTGCTTAACCCGCTGCTGTACAACGCTGGCCCTGATTATATTTACTTAACAATAGAACAAATCCCACTGCCTGCTAATGTGCCTGGGAAAGTAGCAGATGGCTCAAGTGCTTGGGCCCCTGCCATGCAGTTTGGAGAACTGGATGAAGCTCCTGGCTTGAGCTTGGCCAAGCGCTGGTTATTGTGGCCTTTGGGGAGTGAACCAGTGGGTGGAAGAGCCATCTCTTACTGTAACTCTGATTTTCAAATAAATAAATAAATCTTTTTTGTTTAAAATAAACAAGCTCTGATTAAAAAAAAATTCCTTTAATAATAATTTAATATCAGTGTAGCGTAACTTCTTAAAAAAGATTTATTTATTTGAACGACAAAGTTACAGAGAGAGAGAGAGAGAGAGAGAGATACATCTTCCATACACTGCATCATTTCCTAGGTGACCACATTGGCCAGAGCTGGGCTGGTATAAATTCAGGAGCTTTTCCTGGGTCTCTGATGTGGATGCCAGAGGCCCAAGGACTTGACCTTCTTCTGATGCTTTTCCAGGCGCATTAGCAGGGAGCTGTGTCGGAAGTGGAACAGCCAGAACTTAAACCTGTGCCCATATGGGAAGCTGGTGTCCCAGCTGGTGGTGTTACCTGCTACACCATGAAGCCAGCCTTAGCATAACTTTTTTTTTTTTTTTTTTAAGATTTATTTTATCTATTTGAAAGACAAAGTTACAGAGAGGGGCGGAGACAGAGGGAGAGAGATCTTCCCACTGCTGGTTCACTCCCCAAATGTCTGCAGTGGCTGGACCTGAGCCAATTGGAAGCCGAGTCAGGAGCTTCTTCCGGGTCTCTCACATAGGTGCAGGGCCCCAAGGACTTGAGCCATCCTCTGCTGCTTTCGCAGACACATTAGCAGGGTGCTGGATTAGAAGTGGAGCAGCCGATGCCCATATAGGATGCTGGTGCTGCAGGCCAGGGCTTTAACCCACTGCACCACAGCCCCAGCCGCTAGCATATTTTATGTTATATGCTCTTTTAATTAAAAACTTTTACATAAGCACATACTTAGCCAAGGCCTCCATGGAATCAGGATCATCAGTGTCACAGTCTTCCACATTCACATCTTGTCCCACTGGGAGATGTTCAGGGGCAATAACATGCATGCAGCTGTCACTTCTTATGATAACATTGCCTTATTCTGTATATCTCATGAAGGACTTGCCTCAGGCTATTGTAGAATTAACTTTGATTATAATCTTTCAGATCCACCCTCATTTAGTGGGCCCTTGTTGCTGACATTTTTGCATTTGATAATAGTTGTTATGTGACATGTCTGCATTTGATACAATGTGATTCATTTATCCTAATACTTTTCCTTGAAGTTAAAATTCAGAACTCAATTGTAAAAAAAAAAAAAAAAAAGGATGCCTGCAATGAAAAACCAAAAGAACTTCTTCATTAAAAGGTGGTTGGTTTTTGCCCATATTCCTTCTTCCCCTCCTTCCACCAGCCCATATAGTTCCTCGAATTTCAGATCTTGAATCTCTTAGAGGATCAAATGTGACAATATGGTTAATTTAGTATGTCAGCCTAAATTAGTTTTATAATTAAAAAACAACAACTTGTTTTTCAGCTAATGGGAATGACAACAAGAAATTTAAAGGAGATAGACCTCCCTGTTCGCCTTCCCGTGTTCTCCATCTTCGCAAAATTCCCTGTGATGTCACCGAAGCAGAGGTCATATCATTAGGTCTACCATTTGGCAAAGTAACTAATCTTTTGATGTTGAAAGGCAAAAGCCAGGTATGTTATATTTAAAGGTTTAACACAGCATCTCTGGGTGATAGTGCTACAGATTTTATTTTCTTGAGTTTTGTTGTATTTTCTAAATCTTATTCATTCAATGAACATAAATTGGGTTTTTGTTTTAAGATTTATTTATTTGAAAGGCAGAGTGAGGGTGGGAAGAAGTTCTACTGGCTGGTTTACTCCTCAAATGCCCTGGACAGCCAGGCTGGTCCAGGCCAAAGTCAGGAGCTTGGACTCCGTTCAAGTCTCTCATGTGGGAGGGGCCCATATACTTGGACCACTGTCATGGGCCTTCCCAGAACCATGAGCAGGAAAAATTAGAAAGCCACGTAGCTATATCTTGAACTGGCACTCTGATATCAGATGTAAGCATTCGAGGAAACATTTTCAGTTGCTTTGCCACAGTGCCTACCCCATAAATCAGGTTTTTATTATTATTTTTTTTTATTTTATTTTTTATTTTTTTGACAGGCAGAGTGGACAGTGAGAGATTGAGACAGAGAGAAAGGTCTTCCTTTGCCGTTGGTTCACCCTCCAATGGCCGCCGCGGCTGGCACACCGCGCTGATCCAAAGGCAGGAGCCAGGTGCTTCTCCTGGTCTCCCATGGGGTGCAGGGCCCAAGTACTTGGGCCATCCTCCACTGCACTCCCTGGCCACAGCAGAGGGCTGGCCTGGAAGAGGGGCAACTGGGACAGAATGCGGCGCCCCAACCGGGACCAGAACCCGGTGTGCCGGCGCCGCAAGGAGGAGGATTAGCCTAGTGAGCTGCGGCGCCGGCCTAAATCAGTTTTTAAAGTAGAATTTTTTTTTTTTTTTGGAATGAGAGAAAGCAACAGCATAGTTTATAAAAATATCCTACCATTATTTGAATACCCTGAGAGAAATGATATAAATTATGCTTAATTTGACAAATTAAGGACCCATTAAGTCTTACAAAATCTAAATAGAAATATATAGTATTGTCAAAAGGCAAAATTACAACAAATTTTAAAGATCAAATTGGCTTTTACTTGGATTCCAAAAGCAAGCAACACCTCGTTCAATAAAGTAGAATGTGTGTTTAACTGAGCATGTCCAAACCATTGGTGTTTGTAAGGTCGAAATAAGGAAACAGAACAATGTGTGTGTGTTTTAAGGTTTATTTATTTGAAGGACAAGTTACAGAGAGACAGAGGCAGAGAGGTCTTATATCTGCTGGTTCATTCCCCAGATGGCCACAATGGCTGGAGCTGTGCCAATCTGAAGCCAGGAGCTTCTTTTGGGTCTCCCATATGGGTGCAAGGGCCCGAGAAATTGGGCCACCTTCTGCTTTCCCAGACTGTAACAGAGATCTGGATCAGAAGTGGTACAGCTGGGGCCTGAACTGGCGCCCATATGGGATGCGGGCACTGCATCCTACTATGCCACAGCACCGGCTCCAGAACAATGTTTTAAATACTGGAACAGTTAGTTGCTGCTGGTCACTTTTTTAGGATTAAAGCAGAAGGGACTTCTTTATTCTCATTAAATAGATTGTCTTTGATTGATAGCTGTGACTCTTTTCAGGAAAAAGAGATCTGTTTGGGGATTTACCTTCTTTGCCTAAAATAAGTGACTCCAGTTTGGTTTGGTCTGATTCAGTGGGGCCTACTCCAAAACAATGACCTCTCATAAATTTTGACACAGTGTATCTTAGTTAGCAAATTAATATGTTGGTTTTGATTTTTTGAAAGAGATTGGAAGTTTCTTTCATTTTGAAAGTAACAGATTTTTCCTAAATAAGGCAACTTTGTGGTGACCATGACAAAAATATAATACTTGCATGGGACAAGCAACCTTTTTTGTCCTCTGTACCCACACACAATCAGCACAGAAGGCTTCTGTTAATTCACAAAGGGCGGGGATTTCTCCGCAGTAGCAGGTAGTCAGTTTTGTAGCACACTGATATGTGCCCCAAGTCACTTCAGTTCTGACACTGTCTGCCAACTGTAAACTGGAGGTCCAGTTTCCCAGACTGCCTCCCAACCCCCACTTTAGATGCTCGTCATGCTTCTATAAATGGTTCTCACAACTTCCTGCTTAGGTTCAATTAATTTGCTAGAGGAGCTCAACAGAATTCAGAGGGACACTACATTTAAACCAACTGGTTTATTATGCAGTAGATTATATTACTAAGCATACAGATAGAGATGTATAAGGTGGGATATGGGGAGGGAGCACAGAGCTTCCTTACCCTCTCCACTTGCACCACCCTCCAGGAATCTCTGCATGTTCAGTTGTCTGTATGCTCTCCAGATCCTGTCTTTTGGGTTTGTATGGGGGCTTCATTACATGGGCATGATTAATTTAATCCTTGCCATTGGTGATGACCTTTAGCCTCTTTGCTCTCTCTAGGGGTTAGGGTTGGGGCTGAAAATTCCAACTGTCTAATTATGCCTTAATCTTTCTGGTCATCAGACCACATCCTGAAGATTCCTAGGGACTTTCTGCCTTCAAAGAGCTTATTAGCAGATTCCAAGGATTTAGGAGTTCTATGCAAGACCAAATATATATTGCACAATATCATACTTGTTGTATGGATTTGAATGATCACGTGCTTCCTTGTTTCCACTCACTGAGTGAGCCCTGCAGTTCTCTCTGAGGTTTTGGTTGGCCTGAAAGTCCTCTCGACACTGAGCGTTACCGTGTATAAGAGGACAGCAAATCGCAGTCCATTGTGCTGTGTCACTATGCTGCTTCTGCTTTTCATAAATAAGATTACATTTATAAGTAAATAGATTGGTATGCATGAAAGAGACTGGATGACATTTAATTCAGTGCACTATCTCTGGCAGACTATTTCATCAATATACCGTTTATTGCACTTGAAGTTATTACTAAGAGCCAGAGAGTTGTACATGCCTTATAAGGTGTTAGGCCCTGTGTTTACACATTTATCTTACATTTGTTCGAGATAATGCATGCTAGCCACATAGAAACATAGTTTCTGCTACTGAGCATTATAAGGTTTGTATGATTTGGAATGATTGACATGGGTGGATCTAACGGTTAATGGCCTATGAGAGAGGCAGTGGCAACTTCCCAATTTTCTTTGTCTCTGCTGTTGATTCTGAATTTATTTTATCTGTAAGCTAACTTAAACTATTAGATTAATTGTTTGTCTTTAGTTCATAAATCCTATTTAGAAAACATTTCTTTGATAATATGATTTGGCAAGAAATTTTAATGTGAGTCACAAAAGCTGCTTGTGGGTGATAACTCTTCCTGGAGACTTTTGGAAGTACAGTGTTATAAGGGGAATGGGAATTATTTTCACTAGTCTTTGGGTAGTGACTTTTGGCTTTAATCTTCATCCCACAATTTGAATATTGAGCCCTTTGACTAGATACCTTGAAAAAATGTAATTCCTTTACCAGATTCCATATGGAAAAAAATTATTTTTACACATAAGTTTAGCTTCTTTATAGTTTCCAAAACAACTTCATGTAACAAGAATCATGTATTCCAAAGAATTAAGTAGCTTTTCCTTTATGATATTGATGTTAAAAATTGAGTTAGCTGTTAACATTCATCAGGAGTTAGCAGAAATAGTTCTTACCATAAGTAAATGTTGTTAAAATAAGATTTAAAAATTGAAAAATGATTAAAACCATGGCAGGAGCCGCGGCTCACTAGGCTAATCCTCCGCCTAGCGGCGCCGACACACCGGGTTCTAGTCCCAGTGGGGGCGCCGGATTCTGTCCCGGTTGCCCCTCTTCCAGGCCAGCTCTCTGCTGTGGCCAGGGAGTGCAGTGGAGGATGGCCCAAGTGCTTGGGCCCTGCACCCCATGGGAGACCAGGAGAAGCACCTGGCTCCTGGCTCCTGCCATCGGATCAGCGCGGTGCGCCGGCCGCAGCACGCCGGCCGCGGCAGCCATTGGAGGGTGAACCAACGGCAAAGGAAGACCTTTCTCTCTGTCTCTCTCTCACTGTCCACTCTGCCTGTCAAAAAATAAAAAAATAAAAATAAAAAAATAAAACCAGATAGAAAGTATTGCTATTACATATACTTCTTTGGTCACCTTTCGCATTTTGTCTTAGGAGAGAAAGAATGTTACTAATAAAATTGTGTAGTTACCTTTTAGGTTGTATATGTGAGTTGAAGTCCCATTTTATCCCTTTAAGATAGTGGAATTTTATATGTTTGTTGTGTATTGAATGATTTGTGATATTTGTTCACTATCAAATGACCAATAGCACCACCTCAGAATATGATTAGTTCAGTTGAACATTTAATAGGTTCATTTGTTACATTTGGATCATATACTTGTGCATCATATTTAAAATTTGTCTAGTTAGTATTCCCTTACCAAACTACATGTGACAGTATTTGATACCTGAGTTTGATTTATAGATACTTGCCATTTCTTGTGTGCAACACATTTTGTTATTAATAAGAACATACTTTTTTAAAAGAAAGATTTGTTTATTTATTTGAAAGAGTTATACAGGGGCTGGTGCTCTGGTGCAGTGGGTTAAAGCCCTTGCCTGAAATGCTGACATCCTATATGGGCGCTGGTTGTAATCCCGGTTGTTCTTCTTCTGATATAAAATAAATCTTAAAAAAAAAAAAAAAAAAAAAGAAAGAGTTAGAGAGAAAGAGAGAGAGAGAGATCTTCCATCGATGGTTCACTCCCCAGTTGGCTGCAATGGCCAGAGCAGTGCCAATCCAAAACCAGGAGCCAGGAGCTTCTTCCGAGTCTACAACACGGGTACACGGGCCCAAGGACTTGGCCCGCTTTCTACTGCTTTCCTAGGCCATAACAGAGAGCTGAATCAGAAGTGGAGAGCCAGGAATATAACTGGTGCCATATGGGATACCAGCACTGTAGATGGTGGATTTACCTGCTACGCCACAGCACCAGCCCGGGACATACTTTTTTTAAAGTTGTATTTTTTATTTGAAAGCCAGAGTTACAGAGAGAGGAGGAAGAGGGGGAAGAGAGAAAGAGAGAGACAGGCAGACAGACAGACGCTCATCTACCAGCTAGTTCACTACCCAAATGGCCAAAATGGCCAGGGCTGTGCCAGGCCAAAGCCATGAGCCTTGGAGCTGCTTCTGGGTCTCCCACACGGGTGCAGGAGACCAAACACTTGGACAATCTTCTGCTGCTTTCCCAGGCACATTAGCAGGGAGCTAGATCAGAAGTAGAGCAGCCAGGTCTCAAATTGGCACCTATGTGTTACGCCAGCACACAGGTGGACACTTAACCTGCTACGTCACAAAACAGACCCTGAAACATATTTTATATGAGTGTCCTGTATACAGGCTGAAGTAGTTGCTATATGCTTGCTAACAAAATGTTATTTTGAAGCAAAAAAAAATTGGATTGTGTAACTAGAACTTTGTGTTGATTTAAGAAAAGTCTTAATTAAATGGGTCTAAGCCCTAAGGAGTACTAGCAGAAGCATATGAGTCTGTACTTTGGTGGGGCAGATAGTGTTAAATTAAGGTGATGGGTAAAGTGGTAAGCAAACAAAAGCCTCTTTAAGGAAGGCTCAAGAAGTTAATTTAATCCTTTAAGCAGTTAAAAACATTTCACATGTTTAATATAAAAAACTCAAAAGCGTAAAATGCAGTATTCCACAAGTTCTCTTTTTTTTGGGGGGGGGGGCAACATTTTAAAAGTTGACTGTGGCAAAGGGTTTGAAGTATAAAATTGCCAGATAGCTTTATGATTTTATGTAGCTTTTGGTTTACCTTTTATTTTTGTTTCTTCTAAAATCTGGAAATACATAAAAAGGCAAAACTAAATGTGTTACTACAGTTTGAAATAAATGCTTCTAGTGGCTAGCTGCTTCTTCCTCTTCTTCTTCTTCTTTTTTTTTTTTTTTTTTTTGACAGGCAGAGTTAGAGAGAGAGAGAGACAGAGAGAAAGGTCTTCCTTTTTCCATTGGTTCACCCCACAAATGGCTGCTACGGCCAGCACACTGCGCTGATCCGAAGCCAGGAGCCAGATGTTTCCTCCTAGTCTCCATGTGGGTGCAGGGCCCAAGGACCTGGGCCATCCTCCACTGCACACCTGGGCCACAACAGAGAGCTGAATTGGAAGAGGTGCAACCGGGACTAGAACCCAGTGTGCTGGCGCCACAGGCAGAGGATTAGCCTAGTGAGCTGTGGTGCCAGCTGATGGCTAGTTTTTAATGGTTGTTTCCTATGAAATCCTGTATAGGCTACTTAACAAGAACTCAACCTGAAGATCCTCTTGTGTTGGGGCTGGCACTGTGGAATAGTATGCTAAGCCCCTGCCTGTGCCGCCGCTATCCCATATGGGTAGTGGTTTGTGTCCCAGCTAGTCCTTTTCAATCCAGATCTTTGCTTAAATCCTGAGAAAGCAGATTCTTAAAAAAGATTCTTAAAAAGATGTATTTATTTATTTGAAAAGCAGAGTTACAGAGAGGAGAGGCAGAGAAAGAAATTCTATCTGCTGGTTCACTTCCCAAATGGCCACAACGGCCAGTGCTGGGCCAGGCCAAAGCCAGGAGCCTGGAGCTTCTTCTGGGTCTTCATGTGGGCGCAGGGACCCCAGTCCTTGGGCCTTTTTCCACTGCTTTCCCAGGTTCATTAGGGAGCTGAAACAAGTGCAGCCAGCTCTCTAATCGGCACCCATGTGGGATGCCAACATTGCAGGCGGAGACAACCTTCTACCACAATGCCAGCCACATAAATAAAATCTTAAAAAAATCTTTTGTTAGAGCTAAAAGGAGGCTTAATGATCAGAATAGGCAGCAGCACTACCTGTTGTAGGTGAGAAAGGTGAGACTCAAAGGTGATAATGACCCAAGCTATCATAGCTAAATATGGATTCTTTTTTATTTTTTTAGAGATTTTTTTGGAAAGGCAGAGTTACAGAGATACACACAGAGAGAGAGAGATCTTCCATCCACTGGTTCACTCCCGACGTGTCTCCCACCCCCCACCTCCACCCCCAAGATATTTATTTGGGGGCTGGAACTGCGACAAAGTAGGTTTTGCCTCTGCCTGTGGCACTGGCATGCCATATGGGCACTGTTTTGAGACCTGACTGCTCTACTTCTGATCCAGCTCCCTGTTAATGTGCCTGGGAAAGCAGTGGAAGATGGCCCAAGGACTTGGGCTCCTGCACCCACATGGGAGACCCAGAAGAAGCTCCTGGTTCCTGACTTTGGATCTGCCTAGTTCCAGCCATTGTGGCCAGCTGGGGAATGAACCAGTGGATGCAAGACCTCTCTCTTCGTCTTTCCCTCTCCTCCTGTAACTCTAACTCTCAAATAAATTAATAAATACAGAATATTTATTTGAAACTTAGTTAGATCTTCATCTGCTGGTTCACTCCCCAAATGGCTGCAACGCCTGGCCGGAGCTGGCCAGTTTGAAGCCTGTAGCTTCTTTCCAGTCTCCCATGTTGGTAGCAGGGGCCTAAGCATTTGGGCCATCTGCTGCTTTCTGAGGCCACTGGCAGGGAGCTGGATCAGAAGTGGAGAAGCCCGGACTTGAACCAGCGTCCAAATGGGATGCTGCCCTCACAGGTGGTGGCCTTACCCACTACACTACAGTGCAGGCCCCTTGAGAGGACCTATTTTTAATGATAATGTACACGTTTTTTAAAAATTTATTGTTGGCCGGCGCCGCGGCTAAGTAGGCTAATCCTCCGCCTTGCGGTGCTGGCACACCGGGTTCTAGTCCCGGTCAGGGCACCAGATTCTGTCCCAGTTGCCCCTCTTCCAGGCCAGCTCTCTGCTGTGGCCTGGGAGTGCAGTGGAGGATGGCCCAAGTGCTTGGGCCCTGCACCCCATGGGAGACCAGGAGAAGCACCTGGCTCCTGCCTTCGGATAGGCGCGGTGCGCCGGCTGCAGCGCGCCGGCCTCGGCGGCCATTGGAGGGTGAACCAACAGCAAAAAGGAAGACCTTTCTCTCTGTCTCTCTCTCTCTCTCACTGTCCACTCTGCCTGTCAAAAAAAAAAAAAAAAAAATTTGTTAGATTTTAGAAGAAACAAAGCTAAGAGGAAAACAATCACATAAAATCATTAACTCAACTGGGAGTTTCCCAGTTTCAAATTAGTAATTGAATCTAACTTTTCATTGATGCGAAAGTTTTTCCATTCCCTTGGAGGCAGTATTCTTCTTGACCAGAGTACATGAGTTTTTAGAGCAAGCTAGAATGAGGAAATATTTCTTTACTGTCTGAAAAAGATGAGTTGTCACTTTGCTTTTTTGTGTTTATTGCAGGCCTTCTTAGAAATGGCTTCTGAGGAAGCTGCTGTTACCATGGTGAATTATTACACTCCTGTCACACCGCACCTTCGAAGCCAGCCTGTTTATATCCAGTATTCCAATCACAGAGAACTCAAGACTGACAATCTGCCTAATCAGGCTGTAAGTATTAAAGTGAGGACATTTTAAAAACAGGCTTCTAAAAACACATTATAATAACTTAGTCTTCCATACTTTGAAGAGAATGAAATCTTACGCTGTTTTCATACTTTGTTAGTCGAGATTGTGTATGTATTTTCTCAGAAGCTGTAATAATAACAAAGCAGTGTTACTTAGAAACTTTCAAAGTCATGAGGGGCGAAGTGACAGGTACTTATTTTTTCCTTTGCAACTTTTCACAATAAAAAGAAAAAAATTAAAATTTATTGTTATGTGCCTTTTAAAACCTCAGATCTGAAAGCAATTTTAGAAGTCATTTACTTCAATACCTCTTTTTTACTTAATATATAGAAAAGTCAGAAGTTGAGTGATGCTTTTTGTTATGTTAAATTTGTTAATAAGAATTGTTTAAAATGTTTTTATAAACATCTATTTTTATTTATTTATCTGAAAGGCAGAGCATCAGAGAGGGAGAGATAGAGATACAGACCTGCAACAGCCAGGTCTGGGCCAGGTTGAAGCTAGGAGACAGGAACTCCAGCTGGGTTTCCACATGGGCTGTGTATTTTTGATATAGCCAAAAGACTCTTCCATCTATTTGATTCTGTTTGGAAAGGCAGCTAAAGCAAACTATTGAGGTTAAATTACAATTTTCTGCATTGTTTAAAAACAGTTACATTTCCTGCACATAATTCTTAACTTATTCTAAGATATATTAGCAGCATTTAATAAAGTATAGAAACTTAGAATAAATGTAGTTTTAGATGTTTGAAATAGGATAGGCTTTTTAAAATGAAAAACTGCTGTATGAATTATAAATAAGATGCATGGCTTTGGCAAAACATTTAATCTAATTACCCAGAGATAACTATTATCTAGTACAGACATGTCAGTATGTACCCCTTTTCTACTGTGTATCTTATTTTACACAAATAGAATATTTGAGACAGAGACAGAGTGAACTTCTATATTCTGTTTTACTCCCAAAATGCCAACAATGGGTGGGACCGGTATGGGCCAAAGCCCAGAGCTGGGCACTCAATCTCTATCTCCCACATGAGTAGCGGGAATGCAACTACTTGGACTATCATTGCTGCCTCCAGGGTTTGCATTATCATGAAGCTGTAGTCAGGAACCACAGCTAGGCTCTCCATTATGGCACCTAAAGCATGTTCATAACAAGGCTAACCATCTGACTCCACAGATGGAATCTTGATGTTGAAGCCTTTTCTTTTTCTTTGTAATATGTTTTGGACATAGCTTCATGACAAGTACAAAGTTATTTTACAATTTTTTAAAGATTCATTTATTTATTTGGAGGGTAAAGTTACAGAGAAAGCCAAAGAAAGAGGGAGAGACAGAGAGAGATCTTTCATCCTCTGGTTCACTCCCCAGATGGCTACAATGGCCAGAGCTGAGCCCATTCAGAACCAGGAGGTATGAGCTTCTTCCAGGACTCCCATGTTAGAGCAGGGGCCAAAGCATTTGGTCCCCTTTCCACTACTTTCCCAGGTGCTTTAGCAGGGAGCTGGATTGGAAGTAGAACAGCCAGAACTCAAACTGGCACTCTTAGAGGATGCCGGTGTCACACCACAGCACTGGCTCCATATCTCATAATTTTTTAATGATTGCATATTATTCCTTTGTATGGGAGAGTCATAATTTGTGCATCTTCTTCTTCTTTTTTTTTTTTTTTTTTTTGGACAGGCAGAGTGGACAGTGAGAGAGAGAGAGAAAGGTCTTCCTTTTGCCGTTGGTTCACCCTCCAATGGCTGCTGCAGCTGCAGCCACAGCCGCGCCGGCCGGCGCATCACGCTGATCCAAAGCCAGGAGCTAGGTGCTTCTCCTGGTCTCCCATGGGGTGCAGGGCCCAAGCACTTGGGCCATCCTCCACTGCACTCCCGGGCCATAGCAGAGAGCCTGGAAGAGGGGCAACCGGGACAGAATCCGGCGTGCTGACCAGGACTAGAACCTGGTGTGCCGGCGCTGCAAGGTGGAGGATTAGCCTATTGAACCGCGGCGCCAGCCCAAGTCCAGTATTAAGATTATCTTTTTAAAAGCCAGTATTGTGGCACAGCAGGTTAAAGCCTGGGCCTGTAGCATCGGCATCTCATCCGGGCACTAGTATGAGTCCTGGCTCTCCACTTCTGATCCAGCTCCCTGCTAATGTGCCTGGGAAAGCAGGGGAGGATGACCCAAGTCCTTGTGCCCCTGAACCCATATGGAAGACCAGAAGAAGCTCCTGGTTGCTGGCTTCAGGTCATCTTGGATGGTGTGACCATTGGGGAGTGAACCAGCGGTTAGAAGACCTCTCTCTCTGTGTCACTACCTCTCTCTAACTCTGTCTTTGAAGTAAATAAAATAAGTTTTTTTTTAAAAAAAAGATTATCTTTGTAGGTTACATTTCTGGAAGTGAAATTGCTGAGACAAAATGCAAACATGTTTTAAATTTCAATATATAATGCATAATTATTTCCTGTAAAGATTATGTACCAACTTAGGGTGATGTATGAGCAGTTTTCTGTCTTTGTTAGTATGTTTGTTAATATGATAGAAATTGCATCTTACTGTTTTATTTGGTAATTTTCTTAATGGCATTTGGGAAAATCTTTTTAAAGATTTATTTATTCATTTGATTGGCAGAGAGAGAGAGATCTTTGATTTACTAGTTCATTCCCCAGATGGCTACAACAGCCAGGTGCTGAAGTCAGGAGCTAGGAACTTTCTCAGTCTTGCACATGGGTGACATGGGCTCATGTACTCAGGCTATCTTCTGCTTCATTCCCAGACACATTAACAAGAATTTACATTGGCTTAAATATGGGAACCCGGTGTCACAAGTGGCAGCTTTACCTACTGTGCCACAACACTGGTCCTTATTTGATCATTTATAACATACTTACAGTGTTTTCTGTTAGTGCTGTTTTTAAAACTGTGGTATAATAAATAGAACCTAAGATTTACAATTTCTACCATTTTTTTCAGTTTTTCATTACTGGCATTAATTACATTCACATTGCTGTACAACCACCATCAATCCATCTCCAGAACTATGTTCTCATCACAAGCTAAAATTCCCTATTCATTAAACAGTGACTCCCACTCCTTTCTACCACAGCCTGTGTCAATTACCATTCTATTTTTCAGTCTCCATTAGTTTTTCTGCTAATGTAGTTTTTTTTTTTTAATGTATTTTTATTTGAAAGAGTTACACTGAGAGAGGAGATGCAGAGAGAGAGAGGTCCTCCATCCAGTGGTTCACTCCCAAACCTGCCAAAACGGCTAGAGCTGCGCTGAACAAAAGCCAGGAGCCAAGAGCATCCTCTGGGTCTCCCACGGGGGCGCAGGGGCCCAAGGTCTTGGGCCATCCTCCACTGCTTTCCCAGGCCACAGCAGAGGGAGCAGCTGGGTCCTTAACCAGCGCCACTATGGGATGCTGGCACCTCAGGCTAGTGCGTTAACCCCCTGCGCTACAGCACTGGCTCCTCTGCTAATGTAGTTTTTAAAATATTTTTATGCATGTGGTTAAGTTTCTCATTCTTTTTGAGTTTGGTACCATGCTCAAAAAGAGCATAACAAACTTTTTTTTTTTTATTTTTAATTTGACAGATAGAGTTAGACAGTGAGAGAGAGAGACAGAAAGGTCTTCCTTCCGTTGGTTCACCCCCGTAATGGCCACTACAGCTGGAGCTACACCAATCCGAAGCCAGGAGCCAGATGCTTCCTCCTGGTCTTCCATGCGGGTGCAGGGGCCCAAGCACTTGGGCCATCCTCCACTGCCTTCCTGGGCCACAGCAAAGAAGAGGAACAACTGGTACTAGAACCCAACATCCATATGGGATGCTGGTACCACAGGAGGAGGATTAACCAAGTGAGCCACAGTGCTGGCCCCCATAGCAAAATTTTTTTAAATTATCTTTTTTTCTAATACTTTTTGTTTTGATATTTAAATTTTTGTTATATTGGAATTATTTGGATATGGGGAATGAGAGTAGGATTTTAATCTTTCTTACTGCAAGAGACTAATTTTCCTGCCTTACTTTAAAAATAACCTATTATCATCCTCTGATATGAAGCTTGTCCTTTACATTCTTCCTTTTTATATGCATCCTTTGCTTACAACATGCCTGTTTGTGCATGTGGCGTGCACACACAAACACACACACACTATTGAAAAAGTCATGAAAAATGTGTATTATGAAAATAAAAATTTGCAAGAAATTTCAAATTTTTTATCTTTTAATTCCATTTTCTGCAAACTTTTGAAGCCCCTTTGCCTCATACTTATAGGCATCTGCACATTCTGTTTCCATGGCTTGATCTTCCTTTTTGTATACTTTTCACATGGTATGTGTTCCCTCTCCAATCTGGAGTAGCTTTTGGTTTCTACACCCAGTTCAATGCATCCTATAGCTTAATATGTTGTAGGGCAAGGCCTTGTCTATTAACTCTTTCTTTTCAGAAATTAGCTAATTGGCATTTCTTATATTTTTCTCCAGATATATTTTAGAATTGTTTTTTGGGAACTCTTGCCATTCTTCCCAAAAACAAAAACATAATTAGAATTAGGCTGATTTTTATAGATTTGGTGATAATTTATAAATTTGTATTGTACTCTGATCCTTTGAAAAAATTATGAGTATTTTGTTTGTTTTATTTTATGTCTTAAGTTTTACTTCATGTTTATTCTTCAGTTTTCTCATTAGTGTGATTCCTAATTATGTTAGTATAAATCTTGAAGAAGAAAAACCAATTTAATAAACTATGAAAGACTAGATTATTCCATAGGGAAATAGTGAGAAAGCTCAGTTGCTTGGCAGCTAAAGCTGCCGAAATGACCTACTTTGTTCTTAGGTAGCCTTGACTTCTTCCTAATACTCTATTTTGTTACTTAATCCACTGTGCTACAGCGCCAGCCTCTATTTTATTGCTTTTGTACAGTTTTTCTGCATTGATATTCAATAAACTATAAAAAGTAAAAAATTGAATATACCTATTTGTATATATAGAAAGTTCTTTTATAATGTCAGTCCCAGGAGCTGATAGATTAGTGTTCCATTCTTTTTTTCTCTGAATAACAAAGTACCCCAAAACATGCACATTGCTTCTTTCCAGCTTATAGACACTTGCCAGAAGATCAGGTGAATATTAAGTATTTTTTGAGTGATTTAAAACTGAAATTATAGTTACAAAATTTAGATACTCTTAGGTACAGCATTTAAGGATTGATTATGCTAATGGCCACCATTATCATGTACACAGTTTTTCTTGACCCTTATGGGTGTAAGTTTATAAATTTGCAAAGAAATTACCATGACAAAATTTTCCCTCAGCAGATATTCCTAAAATATCAAACTGAACATTTAAGATCTGTGCAGTTATTTTATGTTGATTTCTATGTTCTTGGTTTTAGAAATACCTTCTTCGTATTATCTAGTCATGTTTAAATGTTCATGAAGTGAATCTCCCTTTCCTACTTCAATAAAAATCTTATTAAAATCATATTGCTGCTATTCTTTTTGCTAATAGTTAATATAACTAATTCAGAGAGTTTGTTGCCTAGACTCCTTTCTTGTTTTTATAAGATTAATTTATTTATTTGAAAGGCAGAGTGAGAGGTAGAGATCTTTCATTCTCTGGTTTACTCCCCAGATGCCTGCAACAGGCAGTTCTGGGCCAGGCCAAAAGCCAGGAGCCAACAACTCCATGCGTGTCTCCCATGTTGGTGACAGGAACTATCTTCTGCTGCCTTCCCACGTGCATTAATGGAGAGCTGAATCAAACATGGAGCAGCTGGAAATTAAACCTGGTGGCAACTTACTGTACTGTGCCACCCCAAACATCTTAAAGTTACCTCCCATAACATAAGTTCTGTTATCTTAAAATTTTAAACATCAGACTCATCTTTACTCTTCCCATTTTCTTATTTAATTTTTTTTTGCATTATTAAAAATTGAAACTGTAGAGTTGCTCATAAAACATCAGTTTTTTTTCAGGTGTTACTTTCTCAGATTTTTGTGTCAAAAGCATTTCTTGCATGCTTGCTACATAGGAAGCTTTTATATTCAATGCTATTAATTAAGTACCAGTAGAGAGTATACTGAAAACTGTAGAATGATTAGGACAAGTACATACCATGGTTTCTCAGATTTTTATGCTGTGATACCGTTTTTGCAAAGAGGAAGGGATGAAGGAAGAGGAATAGGACAACAACAATGGCAATAGTGCTTAGCAGCAGGAAGCTCTTACACGGAATGTTTTTAATAAAAAGGATTGACAGCATAGTGAAGTAAAGAGGTCAGTGAGATTAAATTTACCTTTGGTTGTACGTGCTTAGTCTTGATGAGATTAGGTACTTTAATCCAAGTAGAATCAGAGCAGTTACTACACTTAAAATATCACTAATGATTTTTTTTCCTGCATAGCCTTGTAGCTATGTTGTCCAATATAGTAGTCATTAGCTAGCCACATGTGGTTAAATTTATATCAGTTAAAATAAATGAAGTTCCAGCTCTCAGCAGCAATAACCACAGTGCAAATTGGTTGAATCTGAGAATATGGTCCCTGAAGATACAGAGGTTCACTGTAATTAAAAAAAGGAAGATTGTTTTGTAGAAAGATACTTCAGGATTCAAGACATTGTAAGTATCAAATGTCATTTTATATCTATGGATGTAAAATTTCCTGTTATTTGATGGGTTTTTGTTAGTCATTTTTTTTTTAAGATTTTATTTATTTATTTGAGAGGTAGAGTTACAGACAGTGAGAGGGAGAAACAGAGATAAAGGTCTTCCATCCGCTGGTTCACTGTCCAAATGGCCACAATGGCCACAGCTGCGCCGATCAGGAGCTTCTTCTGGGTCTCCCGCTAGGGTACCGGGGGCATCTTCTACTGCTTTCTCAGACAATGGCAGAGAGCTGGATCAGAAGAGGAGCAGCCGGGACTAGAACCGGCACTCATATGGGATGCCAGTGCTACAGTGCCGGCCTCATAAAATCATTATCTTGATGCTCAGATTGTCTCAGGTTTAGCTAACGGGAACCCCTTCAAGCTGCCTTCTGTGTCCTATGCACACATCCCCAGTCATTATTTGACCACTTCCTGGCATTCTGGTGAAACAAAACCAAAGCCAATGAACAAAATTCCACAAAACCGTAAATATTCCATACTCATCTTGTGCTTTCCCTGCCCTACTTCTGGAACCAGCTGGTTTTAGAGCACCCTGGTTCCTTATAGTGGAGAATGATTTTAGAAATTTGTATCCTTGCATGGACTCTGATACCCTATTCCAGGCTATTCCTGTGTTGAATGGCCTCCTTATCCTTAGCCTATCCAAGGACCTCCTCTTCACCCTTCCTGGGTCATTCTCACTCCGTTGGCTACCTATACTGTGTATGTTCCTCCCAGCTCCCCTTGGCTCCGACCCTCCTGGCCTGGCCACCCTTCCTCCACATGCCCTTCTTAAAAAAAAAAAAAATAAATAATAATAATAATAAGACATTTACTTATGTATTAGAGAGGCAGAATGAGAAAGTGGGGCCAGAAGCGGAGATAGTGAGCAAGAGATCTTCATCCACTGATTCAGTCCCCAAATACCCTCAACAGCTATGGCTGCGCCAGGCTGAACCTAGGAGCCTGAAACTCCCATCTAGACTTCCCTCCTGGGTGACAGGAACCCAAGTACTTGGGCAGTTATTCACTGCCTCCCTGGCACATTAGCAGGAAGCTAGATTGGAAGCAGAAGAACCAGGACTGAATGGCCTTACACTTCTTATGTTACTCAGATCCTGATGTCAGCACTGGACTCCATCCCCCGTCTCCTCCCATAGATATCTTTCTTCCCTTGTGTGGACTCAAAAATTCCCCTGTCCAGACATCCCTACCATGGGATGCTCTCCTTGCTTTGCTTGGGCTCTGACGCTCCTGGCCAAGTTGCCTTCCTTTCTTTTCTGCGCTCCAAACTAATATAGCTGCTCTCTTTCTCCCTATTTGTGCATAAACTACCTAGAAGCTTTAGCCCTGAATTATTCAAGAAGGGAAAGAGAAGAGACAGCAAAAAAGATGAGGTACTTACGTGATTTTTTTAGGCAATCTTTAATGTTACTTTCATTTATCTTTTTGCTATTTTATTAAAAATTGTGAGAAATCAGCTGCAGATTTTCCTTTTTTCTCAGTGTGCATCCTCAAATTTCTTCAAGTTAATTTAATTGAATTGTGTCATTGTAATAATAGCAAGGCGATCTTGGCTCTTTACTGATTATGAGATAGAAGATTTTTGTATCTGTGTTTGTTTTATTTATCTCTGTTCCTTAATATTGTTTCATATCCACTGAGTTTTAGAATTCCTATAATGCTTCTGTATAATCAGAAATTCTGACTTTGGTTTGTTCCTTAGAGAGCCCAAGCTGCCCTGCAGGCTGTCAGTGCTGTCCAGTCAGGAAGCCTGGCCCTTCCTGGAGCTCCTTCCAATGAAGGCACCATCCTACCTGGGCAGAGCCCTGTGCTCCGAATAATTATTGAAAACCTCTTTTATCCTGTTACTTTGGAAGTTCTTCATCAGGTAAGGAAGATTACTCTTAAGAGAATTTAGTCAAATGTGGTATCTGTAACTTGATGCTTTATATCTAAGGTTTTTAAGTTGTTGCTTTTGGTTGATAATGTTGGTTTAAATAATGAGAACTTATTCATCTGTTTCATACAAGAAATAATGTCAATTAGAGATAATTTTTGAGAGGCTTTTTTCTTGAGTATTTGATTTAAAAATATGTGTAAGAAATTATATGCATTTATATGCTACTTGAGACACTTGCATCCTATATTAGAATTCCTGGGCTGGAGTTCCCTCTCCGTTCTTGATTTCAGTTCAAGATTTCAGGGCCAGTCAATAAGGATGTGCCTCATGTCAGTGTCCAGTTAAATGAGAGAAAGATTCTAATCACTAACAAAATCTCAAAGTTAAATGGAAATCAATAGGATTTTGTAGTATAATTTAGTATAAAATTATCTCAAGTTTTGGAGCAAATTACACATTTTTCACAAATTACATTACTTCACTAATGAGATATCTTATAATTAATCTCAAAAATTGAATATTGCCATAATTTTCCCACCAGGTCTCAGAGTATAATTAGTTGTCAATTAGTATTTTTTCTGTATCTTTTATATGCCAGGAGTTGTAGTTAATGGTACACAAATGATAAAGAGGAGATGTGTTCCTTCAGGGAGCCTTCAGTCCAATTAAAGGAGACAGATATGTAAATAAACATGTAGTAGAGTACAGCAAGAAAAATACACGAGGCAAAGAAAAGGGCAAAACTTGGGGAGAGGATTAACTCCAGAGAGTTGGAGTCTACTAGAAATTTTCTGGTGGCATTACTTCCTGAATTGAATTTTGGAAAAGATAAGTAAAATTACTAAACATAGATGCAGAGTTCTAGGAAGAGGAGAAATCCACATTCATGCATATAGAAAAGTGTTAGATGACTTGATATGTGTTTGGAGAAGTATGCCCATTTATTTATTGATATAAATAGTGTGATGTAAAAGTTGTCAGGAGATGAGGTCTCAGAAGCAAAGCAGGGCAATATTGTGTTTCTTACACCAGGGATCTTAGGTTTTACCCTGTACATAATGGAAAGGTAGTGAGGGATTATAATCTGATGAAATTTAGAACAATACCTGGGGCCAGCGCTGTGGCGTAGCAGGTAAAGCCACCGCTTGCAGTGCCGGCATCCCATTTGGGCCTGGTTCGAGTCCTGGCTTCTCCACTTCCAATCCAGCTCTCTGCTGTGGCCTGGGAAAGAAGTAGAAGATGGCCCAAGTGCTTGGGCCTCTGCACCCGTGTGGGGGACCCGGAAGAAGCTTCGGCCTTTGGATTGGCGCAGCTCCGGCCATTGCGGTCATCTGAGGAGTGAACCAGCAGATGGAAGCTCTCTCTCTCTCTCTTTCTCTTTTTTTTATTTTATTTTATTTTATTTTATTTTATTTTATTTTATTTTATTTTATTTTATTTTATTTTATTTTATTTTTTTGCCAGGCAGAGTTAGACAGTGAGAGAGAGAGAGAGAGTTATAGACAGTGAGAGAGAAAAACAAAAGAAAGGTCTTCCTTCCATTGGTTCACCCTCCACATGGCTGCTATGGCTGGCACGCTGCACCGATCTGAAGCCAGGAGCCAGATGCTTCCTCCTGGTCTCCCATGGGGTGCAGGGCCCAAGCACTTGGGTCATCCTCCCCTGCACTCCGGGCCATAGCAGAGAGCTGGACTCGAAGAGGAACAACCGGGACAGAATCCGACGCCCCGCCCGGGACTAGAACCCGGGGTGCTGGTGCCACAGGTGGAGGATTAGCTCAGTGAGTCGTGGCACCAGCCTCTCTTTCTCTCTCAGCCTCTGCCTCTCTGTGCTTCAGTATGAGGAAGGGAGAGAAGTTAACTGTTTACACCCTCCCTCCCCTTTTTTACTTTTAAGAAATGAGTCTAATGTTACTTCTTCATTAGAGGAAGAATGCATGCTCAGTTGATGTATATATACCATGTATGTATACCATACGGTATATGTATACCATTTGTTTCAAATGAATAAATAAAACCTTAAAAATGTATGCATAAGAAAATTCATCATTTTAACCATTTTTAATTATACAGTTTGGTTGCGTTAAGTATATTCACATTTTTCAGTCTTTACCAAATACCCTATGTCTATAGAACTTTTTTCTTCTCCCTGAACTAAACTCCCGTACCCCATTAAAAACTAACTCCCCAATTCTGCCCCTTTCCAACCCTTGGCAACCACCATTCTACTTTTTTTCTCTGAATTTGACTCTTGTAGGTTCCTTATATATGTGAAATCATTCAGTGTTTGTCTTTTGTGTCTAGCATATTTCATTTAGTACAGTGTCTTGAAGGTTTATTCATGTGGCATTTTTTCCTTTATAAGGCTAAATAATAGTCGATTGTATATATGGGGGAGCTTTAAAAAGTTTATGGAAAATGACATATTATGAAAAAACTGCATGGATTTCAAATTCATTTGAAACATTGCACCAAAATAAACATTTTAATTTCATTTTCCATCAACTTTTTAAAGTGTGTGTATATAAATGCATATATGTATATACAGACACACACACATATATACACACACGTGTGTGTGTGTGTGTGTGAGACCTTTTGTTTGTCCATTCATCTGTTGATGGACACCACTTGGATGGATTCTTTCAGGTTCTGGTGTGATTAAATACTGCTGTGAACATGGATGTACACTCTTTTTTTTTTTTTAAATATATTATTTATTTGAAACAGTTACAGAGAAAGAGAGGCAGAGATAGAGTTTTTTGTTTTTTTTTTTTTTAAAGAGTAATTCACTTGAGAGGCAGAGTTACAGAGGGAGAGACACAGAAAGAGGTCTTCCGCTCAGTAGTTCACTCCACAAGTGGATGCAATAGCTGGGGCTTAGCCGATCAGGAGCCAGGAGCTTCTTGCAGGTCTCACATGGGTACAGGTGGCCAAGCACTTGGGCCATCTTCTACTGCTTTCCTAGGCCACAGCAAGGAACTGAAGCAAAAGTGGAGCAGCTGGGACTCAAACTAGTGCCCATGTGGGATGCCGTCGCCACAACCAGATGCTTAACCTACTAGACCACAGTGCCGGCCCCAAGAAAGAGAGCTTCATCCAGGTCTCTCACATGGGTCCTGGGGCCTAAGGACGTGGGCCATCCTCTGCTGATTTTCCAGGCACATTATCAGGGAGCTGGGTCAGTAGTAGCTCAGTTGGGACTTGAACCAGTGCCCATTTGGGATGGCAGCAGCACAGGCAGTGGCCTTACCTACTATGCCACAAAGCTGGCCCCAGTAATAACTGTTTTCACAGAGAAAATACTTTTCTTTTAAAAATGAGATTAATGAACCAAATTGTATAAGATACATTAGTTTAATATTTTCCTAAGATTTAACTTAATGTGAACTTTTTTCCAGATATTTTCCAAATTTGGCACAGTCTTGAAGATTATCACCTTTACAAAGAATAATCAGTTTCAAGCCTTGCTTCAGTATGCTGACCCAGTGAATGCACATTATGCCAAAATGGTAATGAAGATCTGTCTTTACTTTTTTATTGCTACTTCATTTACACCTGAAGGAAGCTCTTGTGTATTTCTTGTTCTCCTTCACCATGTTTTTTCTTAAAATTGTAAAATATATGCAATATTTATCTTATTAATACTTTTGAATTATATAATTCCATGTGTTATTTTTTCTAAACTTTATCTTTGTTCATAAGAAATGTTCTCAGATCTCTGTCAATTCTCATAGATATGAGACTCACTCCTGTTTTTCATATTTAGAGTTGAGCACAGTAGTACTCTTAATGTGTTCTAACACAGTATAATTATTGTTGCCCTTACCTCTATTCAGTTAGCCAAAGATTGATTTCACTGTTTTGTAACCATATCCAGTATTCATTCTTGTTGAGCACTAAATTAGAGATGACATTAAATCTTAGGAAATATGCTGCTGTCTGTTCATGTTGTCTTCTAGTAAGTGCATGAATGCCTGACATTTAAAACAAGATGCAAAACTTTGCATTCAATTTGGATGTATGAGACACATCTCCTGTTGAAATCTGTCCATAGCCCAAATTGTGTTGTGGATCCATGTCTGAATTATTTTTAATTTCCGCTTAAAGATAGGTTTTTCTGTAGTACACAGTGTCTGACATTTCCTTAGGAATATCCCTTTCTATTTGCTGTATAGTCTACCTACATATATTATCTTGTACCATTATCACGACATTCCTGTCAGTGATTATTATTGTAAATCTGAGGGTTGTTTTTGTGGTGTGTGTGTGTTTTGTTTTTTTTTTTTGTTTTTTTGTTTTTTTGTTTTTTTTTAATGTAGTAAAGTAGCAACAAATAACTTTGGTAAACCAAAGGAAGGAGTACTGACTTTTGGTCAGAACTGACTCCAAATTTCTCTTCGCTTATTGTTCTATATAATAAAGTAAAATTTAAAAATGATTTATTTATTTTTTTGAAAGAGTTTACAAGGACAGAAGGGAGAGACAGAGAGGTCTTCCATCTGCTGGTTCACACCCCAAATGGCCACAATGGCCGGAGCTGAGCCGGTCCAGGAGCCGGGAGCTTCTTCTAGGTCTCCATGTGGGTGCAGTGGTCCAGAGACTTGGGCCAAATTCTGCTGCTTTCCCAAGTGCATTAATAGGGAGCTGGATAGGAAGTGGAGCAGCCAAGATTCAAACCCTTGCCCATATGGGATGCAGCTTTACCCACTATGCCTCAATGCCACCCCACAAAATAAATTTAAGAGAGAAAATATGAAATGGTAGTTAAACTTGTATTTCTGTAGTTCTGCGAAGTACCATTTTAGAAAGGTTTTATTTTATCTTAACCCATATAAACTATACCAGAATGAATTAAGATGAAATTTGAAAATAGATTTAAACATTAGCTAGTACTTCTGTAATATAAGTATACAGTAATTTTCCAAGCCTTTTTACATTTTTGTTTTCATTTGACCTCTGCACAAATAGTATTATTTTTGTTACTTACATATACAAAACAAGATTTCTTTTTTCTCCCTTAGACTCAAACAATTAGTGACAGATAAAAATCTAAGTCTTTGGCTTTTAGTTCAGTGCTCACTGCTTGACATCTGCATGCCACTGTTGTTAAAGTGAGAGCAATTTGATTTGTCAGTGTTGTTCTTGTGTCAAAACATCAGCCCTTTTTCACATGCTTTAGGCTCTGGATGGCCAGAATATCTATAATGCATGCTGCACTCTGCGTATTGACTTCTCCAAGCTCACCAGCCTTAATGTGAAATACAATAATGACAAGAGCAGAGACTTCACTCGCTTAGACCTTCCTACTGGTGATGGTCAGCCATCCCTTGAACCCCCTATGGCTGCTGCTTTTGGTGAGTAGTTTCTTTTGAGGGCACAAAGCAAGTTTTCTGAAGTTGCAAGTTTCATTTATTCTCCTGTATATCAGTTAGCCTTTTTCTTCCCGGATTCTCTTTAGGATTTCTAAAGGAAAGGAACAATCATAGAAAGAACTGTGCTCAATAATTAAATCTTAGTCTCAGGAGGGTGTATTTATTAGTTAGCAAAACAAGTAGATAGTCTGAAATTGAGCTAGAATTTGTTTTCTAAAACTTCTTTATAAAAGATTTATTTATTTATTTGAAAGTCAGAGTTACACAGAGAGGAGAGGCAGAGAGAAAGAGAGAGAGAAGTCTTCCATCCTCTGGTTTACTCCCCAATTGGCTGCAATGGCCAGAGCTGTGCCAATCCAAAACCAGGAGCCAGAAGCTTGTTCCGGGTCTCCCACGCGGGTGCAGAGGCCCAAGGACTTGGGCCATCTTCTACTTCTTTCCCAGGCCACAGCAGAGAGCTGGATTGGAAGTGGGGTACCCAGGTCTTGAACTGGTGCCCATATGGGATGCCAGTGCTTCAGGCCTGGGTGTTAACCCGCTGCACCATAGCTCTGGCCCCTCTAAAACTCATTTTACTCACTTTTGTAAGCCAGGCAACTACTTGATTCAAATTAATAATCTTTTATAATAGCATTGATTTAAGTATATTGGTTTATGACCAACAGGATTTTACCCTAAGTGCTCTTGAGGAAAGTATTTTTTTATATTTTTAAGGTAATATTTTAAATCAAGGACCTAAACTCTGGTATATTTTTTCAAAGAATTCATTTTATGGCGTTTCATTTTTTAAAACATTAGGAGGTCCATCTTATGAGCTCAGAAGTTACATTTTATATTAATAAGAGTACAGCCTTTTAAATAGTCTTTGTAAATGTACCCTCTAAGAGTTTACCTCTTTTATTTAAAATAAGCTTTTACATAAAGGAAAATGGATGGCCTAGTTTGAATTAATCATTAGTTAATATATGCTACTTTTTGGATGTGTATCTCTCAAAAGTGTAGTTTATTATTTAGATCAATATTGTTTTATTACTGTTTTGTGATTTTTCCTTTTCCAAATAATGCTTAAAATAGTGCTGATTTGGACTTTCAGCAATATTTTATCCTTTTTTTTTTTTACAGATGAGGAAATTAATGATATAAGACAACCAAATAATTGTCTAAAATCTTCTAGGAAATTATATCTTTTTTTTTAAAGATTTATTTATTTACTTGGAAGTCAGAGTTAAACACACACACACACACACACACACAGAGAGAGAGAGAGAGAGAGAGAGAGAGAGGTCTTCCATTCACTGGTTCACTCCCCAGTTGGTCACAACGGCCAGAGCTGTCCTGATCTGAAGCCAGGAGCCAGAAGCTTCTTTCGGGTCTCCAACGTGTGCGTAGGGGCCCAAGGAGTTGGGCCATCTTGCACTGCTTTCCCAGGCCATAACAGAGCTGGATCGGTAGAGGAGCAGCCGGGACTAGAATCGGTGCCCATATGGGATGCCAGTATGTCAGGCCAGGGCCAGCGCCGGCCCCAATTATATCTATTTTAAAGTAAAAACTTTTGGCCGGCGCCGTGGCTCACTAGGCTAATCCTCCGCCTTGCGGCGCCGGCACACCGGGTTCTAGTCCCGGTTGGGGTGCCGGATTCTGTCCCGGTTGCCCCTCTTCCAGGCCAGCTCTCTGCTGTGGTCAGGGAGTGCAGTGGAGGATGACCCAAGTACGTGGGGCCCTGTACCCCATGGGAGACCAGGATAAGCACCTGGCTCCTGCCATCGGATCAGCATGGTGCGCCGGCCGCAGTGCGGCGGCCATTGGAGGGTGAACCAATGGCAAAAGGAAGACCTTTCTCTCTGTCTCTCTCTCTCTGTCACTGTCCACTCTGCCTGTCAAAAAAATAAAAAATAAAAAACTTTTTGTTGTTTGTCATTTAAAAAGTCAAGTGAATTATTCCGTACATATTCCTAAAGTTGTAAAAATTTTCTATTGTAGTCTCTTTGATGAAATTTTTGTGTTTTATGTTACCAGTCCTAAGCTGTGTGTCTGATTTGGCTAAATCATAAGTCTTTCTCACTATCATTTTAGTAAGAAATGATAGAAATTGTAGCCAATTCAAACTTGCCAAAATTTGACTATTGAATTCCAATAATTAAATATGTACCCTTGGTTTAATTAATGTGTTCTGCATTATGGGAAGAGGAAATTTTTAAAATATGACTAGGAATTTTATTTTCTGTATATGAAATATCTTTTTCATTTTGTTATGAATTAATCCTTAGTTATTGCCAAACAATGTTGATATCCTAAAAGAAGTCATTTATTTAACAGAATGCATTTTAATGTATTGTGTGAAAGTCCTTCTACTCTGCCTCTCACTAATAATTTACATCATTATTCCCTCCTTTTTAATAATCCTTGGCTTCTGAAGATCCACACCTTTGACCTTCCTACCTTATGGGCTATTCTTTCTCTATTAAAGGTTACCCTTTAAAGTTTCTTTGGCTGAAATCTAGCACTCATTCACTGCTTTTAGTGTTAGAGACCATTCTTATAGAACAGGTAAATAAAATATGTACACATACTGAGGAAACCCTCTGCTCCCCTCTTCTGTCCCAAGAAAACCATAGTTGGCTCAAACTTAATGATAATTCTCTTGCTTTTCTGATTTTTTCCTGTTTTGTTTTTTACTATTCATATAGGCTTATATACTACTTCAGTTTGGTGCTGTTATATGAACATTCTTGCATGTGTCCTCTGGACAAGAGCTTTCTCTAGGGAATATAAATGGGAAAGGAATTATTAAGAGTATATAAATTAACTATTTCATAATATGTATTGTTTTTAAAGTGATTGAGCCAATTTAAACCTGCTCTGTTGGACCTTTAACTCTTGACATTATGGCATATGTGTAATGATGTGTTAGCATGGTGATTTCACTTACCTTTTCTTGATTACTCATGATACGAAGCATTTTTATTTATCATCCTCCCTTGTAAATGTTCTGTTAATTTCTTCTTTTTGTTTTTGTTTGGTTTATCTTTTTTCTTGTTTATTAATTCTTTATGTACTCCACATATTAGTGTTCTGTAATTTATTTGCATAATGTTTGTACTTTTTTCATATTTAAGAGTTCTCTGTTACTCTGAGATCATAAAGATGTCTACTTATTTTCTAAGGTTTTAATATTCAGATTGCAAGAATAAAAGGAACTCTTTCATATTCTGCTTTTGGATTCCCTAGTTATTAACAGCATGCCACATTTACTGTCTCATCTGATTATAAATGTATGCCTATGTACATACAGAATATATACACATATCTACATTTATGTATGGGTGTGTATTTTCTGCTATCCTCAAACCAGTTGAGAGTAAATTGCAGACATGGTACTCTTGTTTCTAAACATTCATTGTATTATTAACTAGTAATAAGATCATTGTGACATACATACATTTTAATTGTCAAATTCAGGAAGTCAAAACTCATATAGTACTTTTATCTAATACATAATCTTATTAAAATTTTGTTATTTGTGAAAATAATGCCTTTTATACCAGATTTTCTTCTAGTAAAATCAAGAGTAGTATTCAGACTAATTCAGACTACTGTCTCTTACGAATGCTTTTATTTGGAACAGGGTATTTCATAGAATGCCACCCTCAGTGTGGGTATCTGGTTTTCCCTCACTAGTTTATGCATTTTTTGGGCAGAAATACCACTGAAATAATAGTCTCTCACTTCATTATATCAGGACACACAAGATTTCACTTTATCCCATTACTGCTGGCAGTGTTTGTGTTTTTTGAAGGTTTATTTATTTTAAAGACTTACAGAAAGGAGAGACAGAGAGAAGAAAGAGAGAGCTTCCATCCACTGGTTCACTCCCAAAAGGGCTATAATGGGTAGGGCAGGACCAGGCTGAAGTTGCCAGGAACATAATCCAGGTCTCCCATATGGGTTCATGTGGGATGACAGTGTGGCAAGCAGTGGCTTAACTAGCTGCACCAAAACAACAGCCCCTCCTCTTGGTGTTTTCTTTTTCTTTCTTTCTTTTTTTTAAAGAAAACTTTTATTTAATAAATATAAATTTCCAAATTTTGGATTATAGCGCTTTTTCTGCCCATAACCACCCTCCCACCTGCAAACCATCCCATCTCCTACTCCCTCTCCCATCCCATTCTTCATTAAGATTCATTTTTAATTATCTTTATATACAGAAGATCAACTTAGTATATACTAAGTAAAGATTTCAACAGATTACACCCACAGAGACACACAAAGTAAAAAGTACTATTTGAATACTAGTTTTACCAATAATTCACATGGCACAACACATTAAGGACAGAGATCCTACATGGGGAATAAGTGCACAGTGACTCCTGTAGTTGATTTAACAACTATTTATCATGTCAGTAATCACCTGAGGCTCTTGTCATGAGATGCCAAGGCTATGGAAGCCTCTTGAGTTCACAAACTCCGACCTTATTTAGACAAGGCCATAATCAAAGTGGAAGTTCTCTCCTCTCTTCAGAGAAAGGTACTTTCTTTTTTGATGGCCTGTTCTTTCCACTGGGATCTCACTCCCAGAGATCTTTCATTTAGGTGTATTTTTGCCACAGTGTCTTGGTTTTCCATGCCTGAGAAACTTTCATGGGGTTTTTAGCCAGATCCAAATGCCTTAAGGGCTGATTCTGAGGCCAGAGTGCTCTTTAGGGCATTTGCCATTCTATGAATCTGCTGTGTATCCTGCTTCCCATGTTGGATTGTTCTCTTTTTTAATTCTATCAGTTAGTATTAGCAGACGCTAGTCTTGTTTATGTGATCCCTTTGACACTTAATCCTATATTATGATCAATTATGAACTGAGACTGATCATTTTGATTAGTGAGATGGCATTGGTACATGTCACCTTGATGGGATTGAATTGAAATCCTCTGGCAGGTTTCTAGCTCTACCATTAGGGGTAAGTCCAAGTGAGCATGTGCCAAATTGTA